CAGGCTCTGAAGAATATCCGGGAGAAAGACAAAGAAGTGGTGAGGAAAAGAGCAAAGCTTGTTAAGGTTAAGGTTAAGGAACACAATCATGAAGTTCTGCGTGGTGCGGCAATAGCCTCAACTTCTAGATCGAATGCTATGGATGATGAGTTTGATAGAGTTTTTGCTGAAAAGAAAAACAAGAAGCAAACCTTTTCCACAAGGCGTAAGAAAACAACGGCTAAAGATAGAATATCCCAGAGACTGTTTAGTAATCGAGTAAAAGGTACTAATCCACAGCAGTTGGCTCAGGGCAATGATGAAAAGTGCCGGGATACATCGGCTAACCAGTGGTAACAAATAACTAAAATCTTTCTAGTTTTGATCCAGTAGTGCCTTAAATTTGATTGTTTGATGCAAATAGGAGTAAAAAGCTAAAGAATATTTGATGAATGAATAATCAGATCCGCTTGTGATCTCTTGTAGCTGTGAAAACAGTTCTTAAGTCAAGTCCCAGATTCTTTGAAGCTTTATATTTTTCTCAGACAAAAGTCACAAAACCCAACAGAAAGATAATAGTACAATTGACATGTTCTGTTAAAAAGCAACGACAGATCATTGAAGCTGGATGGATCGTTGTTGTTCGCTTTTTTCTTTTTCTTTTATGTGGTGTGTTTAAGGATGATATCACTCATGAGACCGATCACTGATGAGAAGCAATTATTAATTGAATAATTTGCTTTTAAGATTGTGAGAGTTTGCTTGAGATGAAGAAGAGTAAAATGTTCATTTACATTATCATTGGTCTTTGAAGTGACTTTGAACCCAAGCCACATCCCATTACTTATTATTCCTCTTATGAATTTCATATTCTTAAACCGTCTAATTTTACCTAAATACATCTCTTAAAGTTTTTGTTAAAGTAAACAGAAAGATGAGCATGTTTTTCATGAATCTTTGAATTTAGCTGTCATTTTAGAAGTTGAAAATCATTTTTCTTGTACAAAGGAAAAGAAATTGTTTGAATTAAAAGTAAAAAAAGAACACACAATAATAATAGACAGAATCCCACTAGAGAGAAAAACATCTAGAATAAAAAAAAAGAAGCAATCATGTGCACCATGTACATATTTAGGCCCATCTCTACTGGATCATGGCCCTTTAATTAAAAACAAAGAAATCATTGAGTGAGAGAGGATATACTGTACGTATATTATTAGAAAATGATTATTTTTCCCCTATCCAGTAAATTCTTCTGAATCTCTTATAATTCAATTTGTTTCCAAATAACATTCTCTCTTTAACACAGCCGCCTTTGTGACCGTCCGATCTTAAATCAGCGTTTCCGGTTCATTTGACGGCAACTCTCTCTCTCTCTCTCTCTCTAGAGAATTGATGAAGAAGAGCATCTATCTTTTTTGTTTTTGAAAATTAACAACACTTCACGAGGGTTGACCTGTTTCGGTGGTGTTTCTTCAATTCCGGATTTTGATCTTTCGTTTCGATCGAAGATCAATCAAAGTCTCCACCTTTCTTCAATGGATTTGGATAGCATGGACTGTACATCAACCATGGATGTGACAGATGATGAAGAGATCCACCAAGATCGCCATTCCTACGCTTCTGTTTCCAAGCATCATCATACTAATAACAACACCACCAACGTTAATGCTGCTGCTTCTGGGCTTCTCCCTACCACCACCAGTGTTCATGAGCTTCTCGAATGTCCTGTCTGCACCAATTCTATGTACCCTCCCATTCATCAGGTCTTTCTTTTCAATCCCTTGTTCTCTGATTTCGTTTCCCCGGATCTTTAATTTGTTGATTTTGTTTAGGGTTTTGAGTTAATGATGTGAATCATGGATGTTGAAGCAGTGGTTGTGTTGCTCTTGTAACTTGAAATTTAGTTTTATCCATTCACTAATGGCTACAATTGAAACAATTGTCACTAAATTTTGTCAATAGCTTTGATAGTTTCTAAGATTCTTCTTATTGTTTCTTTAGAGAATTATGGAATAACAGATAGACAATTATTTGATTTCCCTACAGTGTCACAATGGACATACGTTGTGTTCAACCTGTAAAGCCAGGGTTCACAACCGCTGCCCAACTTGTAGACAAGAGCTCGGTGATATCCGTTGTTTGGCACTGGAAAAAGTAGCCGAATCACTTGAACTACCTTGTAAACACATGTCACTTGGATGTCCTGAAATCTTCCCTTATTACAGTAAGCTCAAACATGAGACTGTATGTAACTTCAGACCTTATAGCTGCCCTTATGCTGGATCCGAGTGTTCTGTTACGGGCGATATCCCTTTCTTAGTTGCTCATCTGAGGGATGATCATAAGGTGGATATGCATTCTGGGTGTACTTTCAACCATCGTTATGTCAAGTCTAATCCTCGTGAAGTCGAAAACGCCACATGGATGTTAACTGTAAGTACATATGAATCGTGCTTCATAGTATACACTTAGATAAGTTAGGAGGCTTTGTTTAAAGTAATAGGATTATATTTGTGATGAAATTTGATCTGTCTGGTATAAACTGTAATGTGATCAGCTGAGTCAAATTTTGCTTTTGTTGCGAGTTAGCTTTCCTAGAGAAGGTCCAGTTATTTATCTAATCTATGGTTGTGAATTGTGAATCTTCCATCTCGCTATACATGTTGACTTGATATACTTTAATGCTTATCAAGGTTTCCTCTGTTTTGGTTTTGTTTCTGGTTCAAAAATGAAAATCAGGTCTTTCACTGCTTCGGTCAATACTTCTGTCTTCACTTTGAGGCATTCCAGCTCGGAATGGCTCCAGTCTACATGGCGTTCCTGCGTTTCATGGGGGACGAGACAGAAGCTCGAAACTACAATTACAGTTTAGAAGTGGGAGGTTATGGTCGGAAGCTGATATGGGAAGGAACACCAAGAAGCGTAAGAGACAGCCACAGGAAAGTTAGAGACAGTCATGATGGACTAATTATACAAAGAAACATGGCTCTCTTCTTCTCAGGTGGAGATAGGAAAGAGCTGAAACTTCGAGTCACTGGAAGGATATGGAAAGAGCAACAGCAAAGTGGTGAAGGTGGAGGAGCTTGTATCCCAAACTTGTCTTGAAAATTAAAAAAAAAAAATCAAACTGATTTTGAAAACCTCACCGATTTGGCCTTGTCTCTGTAACCATGGTTATCTGTAATTAGGGTTTTCTCTGACGATAAACTTGGGGTTGTTCTTATGTATCTCTCTCTGTCTTTCTCATGTCATGGAGATTTTTTTATTATAAAATATATAGTTCATTACAATTCTGCTATATCTGGAGGAAAAACGTAAAATGTTGAACCTTTTACTTTTATCAACTGTAGTGTTCATAAATTTATGTAATGCTTGTGTTGTGTCCACGAAACGACGACGTTTCATCATTGTTCTGTTAAACCCAGCTTTTGGAACTTGGAAGTGATGAGCTTTATATCTGGAAAATGTAAAATGTTGAACCTTTTTTCAACTGTAGTGTTGTTCATAAATCTCTAATGATTGTGTTGTGTCCAAAGGCGTTAGCTTTGTTTAAGAAACGACGACGTTTCATCATTGTTCTGTTAAACCCAGCTTTTGGGGAACTTAGAAGTGATGAGCTTTATATCTGGAAAATGTAAAATGTTGAACCTTTTTTCAACTGTAGTGTTGTTCATAAATCTCTAATGATTGTGTTGTGTCCAAAGGCGTTAGCTTTGTTTAAGAAACGACGACGTTTCATCATTGTTCTGTTAAACCCAGCTTTTGGGGGTTTCCTCACTTGGAAGTGAGCTTTATCCCTTTGGTTTCCATCAATGGAGGTTCTACTAAACTCCAATGATGGTTTCTTCAATTTCTCGTCTTTCTCGTCCAATTCGAACAGGAGACTCGCTAACCAACGTCGATTCAACTTGCCCATCTCCAAATTCCACTACTATCGCGTTTCAATTCTCCGAGTCTCGGCTCGGTTCGGAGAGACCTCGAGGCGACGTAATTCGCTGAGGAAGAAGATCATCGGTGATGAGTATTGGCGTTCGACTCCGAAATCTTCTGAACCAGGTACGAAACCTCTAAACGAAAGCCATAAGTTTGGTCACTGTGATGATTTAAGTAGCACCGAGGGATTGAAAGATAGGGTTGCTCAAGATTCAAATTTGCTGAATGAGCTTGAAGATTGGGTTGCTCGGTATAACAAGGAAGCAGAGTTTTGGGGTATTGGTTCGAATCCCATTTTCACTGTCTATCAGGATTCTGTTGGAAACGTAGAGAAAGTAGAGGTTGATGAAGACGAGGTCTTGAGTAGAAGAAGATCAGCTCTTGGGGATTTGGAATCAGTGAGTTCTAAGCTTGTATATGCGAAGAAATTAGCTGAACAAATGGAGAATGGGGAACATGTGATCCATAAGGAGAGTTCTCTTGTCAAGTTCGTTTCTTCTTCTTCTTCTTCTTCTTCAGAGGAAGAGTTTCGTCTCGTTAGCTCAGTCCAAAACGCAATTCTTCGTCTTGACTTAATTCCAAAGTTGCCGGCGATTGGAAGAGCTGTTTTGTGTGGTTACATTGGACTCTGGTTGCTGAAGACGGTGCTTGTGTATAGGAAGAGTAATGAGGTTGAGTGTACAGAGTTGGAGAAGGAGATGATGAGGAGAAAGATGAAAGCTTGGCAGGAAAGGGATATGTCGGAGAAAGGTACCGTGGAAGTTTTGCACAAGGAGGGTTTGGAAAAGCCATTGATGTCATTTGAGAAGCCTAAGTTTGATCGAAATGAACTTATGACTAGTATTTCTAAAGTTAAGGGTTCAGAGAAGAAACTGGAACTCGTGAATTCTCCTCATGTTGAGCTGGACTTTGTTGATAAGATCCATGAAATCAAAGCAATGGCTAGACGAGCACGGGAGATAGAAGCTGGCATAGAACTTAATGAAAAGCAGAAGCTCGATGTGAACAAAGAAACAGGCGACAATGAGGAAGATATAAGCATTCAGTCACAGAAGAGTCTTCCACATGAGGCTTTGACACACAGTGAAGGTGATGATGATAAAGATGAACGCTTGGGAACTTCGACTGACAGTGAGAACACTGAACTTTCTGGTTTTGCTGTTCCGATGTTGAATGGGGCTATGGTAGATTCTGGTTTTCTGAATCATGAAATGGCAGCATCTGACAAAGAAAAGGTGAGTAATGTGGTACCACCAGTTCCTACAGACGGAGTCATCCAATCTTCTGATGTCTCTAAGGATCAGTTAAGTATGATGAAGAATAGCACTGGTCGTAAGTCACGGGTCATACGGTCTGTAAAAGAGGCTAAAGAGTTCCTTTCAAGAAGAAGTGGTGAGAAAGAGCTTACTCAGGAACCTTCTCAGATGATAGCCCAAGATAGTGTTGAAATCTTCTCAAAGCAGAGCGACGAAGAGCGTGGTGTAGCTAGAAAACACGAATTGGTTGACAAAAATAAAATCCTTGGTGCAGCTGTCAATGGAACCTTGAAATCTGCACTTGAGTCTACTTCTTCTGAACCGTTGGGGAAGGATGCTGATTGTCAACCCCAAAAGAATGATTACCAAAAACTCTCAGAACCTGGGAATGCAGTTAAGGGATCGAGCAAGCAAATAAATTCTTCAAATAAAATCGAAGAGCACAATTTTAAATTTGCCAAAAGTTCTTCTGGTGGTACTGAACATATAGAGAAGGAAGAACCATCAGGGAAGGGGAATTGGATAGAGAATAACTACCATGAATTTGAGCCTGTTGTTGAAAAAATGAGAGCAGGATTTAGGGATAATTATATGGCTGCTAGAGAGGGTGAAACTCGGGAGCCAGGTACAATTGCTGAAATTGCAGAACTTTACCGCAGTGAGTATAATGATGAGCTTGAGTGGATGAAGGACGAGAAGCTAAGGGACATTGTCTTCCATGTTCGAGATAATGAGCTGGCTGGTAGGGATCCATTTCACCTGATTGATGATGAAGATAAAGCTATGTTTTTGCAAGGCTTGGAGAAGAAAGTTGAGAAAGAAAATGAGAAACTGTCTCATCTGCATCAGTGGATTCATTCAAACATTGAAAACCTTGACTACGGAGTAGGTAATCTTCTACAACTTTGATTGAGACTCAGTTTGCTCAATATCTTACGTACACAAATTATGCATTAATCAGCTTGTCAAAATATATCTCAACCATCTCCCTTCCTCTTATTATTCAGATGGCGTCAGTGTGTATGATCCACTAGAAAAGATCATACCGAGATGGAAAGGGCCTTCACTTGATAAGAACCCCGAGTTTCTCAATAACTATCATGAACAGCGTGAAGCACTGTTTTCTGAAAAAGCTGCATCTGTATCTCCTGTGAAATATGAAGAACAGAGCTCTCATCAGGAATTATCAGAGTCTGCTTCCTCTGAGAACACTCTCACCCCTTCATCTGAAATTACCTCAAGCCAGCCAAAGATTGTTGTAGAAGGAAGTGATGGATCTGTTAGACCTGGTAAAAAATCAGGAAAGGAGTATTGGCAGCACACGAAGAAGTGGTCACGTGGGTTCCTTGAGTTGTACAATGCAGAGACTGATCCAGAAGTGAAAGCTGTTATGAGAGACATGGGAAAAGACTTAGACCGATGGATTACTGAAGACGAAATCAAAGACGCTGCTGATATAATGGAAAAGCTGCCAGAGAGGAACAAGAAGTTCATGGAAAAGAAACTCAACAAACTCAAGAGAGAGATGGAGTTGTTTGGTCCTCAAGCTGTTTTGAGCAAATACCGCGAGTATGGAGAAGATAAGGAAGAAGATTATCTATGGTGGTTGGACCTTCCGCATGTACTGGTATGTTTTCCTGCTAAACAGTTGACTGACATTGGAGAAACACAAAAGTCCTTGAAAATCTGATATGTCTTTTCATGTTTTAGTGCCTTGAGTTGTACACAGTTGATGAAAACGGAGAGCAGCAAGTAGGGTTCTACACATTGGAGATGGCAACAGATCTCGAGTTAGAACCCAAACCACATCATGTGATTGCTTTCGAGGACGCTGCAGACTGTCGAAACCTCTGTTACATTATTCAAGCTCATTTGGATATGCTACGAAGTGGAAACGTTTTCATTGTTCCGCGCCCGCCAAAGGTAATGAATTTAGCCAATGAAGAAACTTTAACTAGACGTGTTTCTGTTATCAATTCAAAGTTGTTCTCTTTAACCTACACAGGATGCATATCGAGAAGCCAAGGCGAATGGATTTGGTGTAACGGTTATTAGGAAAGGAGAACTGAAGTTGAATATTGACGAGCCATTAGAAGAAGTAGAGGAAGAGATCTGTGAGATAGGAAGCAAGATGTACCATGATAAGATCATGGGAGAACGATCTGTGGATATAAGCTCGTTGATGAAAGGTGTCTTTAACCTGAAGACCAAACCTACTGGCCGAAGAAGAAAACGATCAAAGCAGGCTCTTAAAGATTCTAACAAGAAAAGTAGCTGAGGCACCAATCCAAAGGGCCTATAGCAAACAGAGATTGGAGGCAAACTTAGAAATGATAGCTGAGGGTACTTTCGTAGTTCGTTATGTTGATTCGTCCAGCGAATTTGGGCCACTTCTTTCTTCGTTACATATGTTAATTCGTTCAACGAATTTGGGCCCTTTTATGCACAAGAAATCCAAATGGACTGAAAAGGGTCAAATCCATAGTTTTTGGGCTTACAAAATGCCCATTCCCACAATCTCCCCCAAATAAATAGCTTCTATTTTCGTGTATGATAGACACATGTTGTGTGTTTTAAACCTTGCCTTTTTGATTGATCATAGGTTGGTTAGAGAGAGAGTATGTGATCCTACTTTAGTTCTTGGATCACCAAAGCGTATTAGTCAGTTCTTCTTAAACCCTCTAAGAGACCCACAAAAATTTGTTGTTGTCGATTATCTGTTCTAAGATAGTCTGTCTCTAACATGCTTAATCTGTTGTGCAGTTTGAGAGTTACAGTAAGTTACTGATGCATTAAGTCACTAAACATGTCATCATCATAAAGATTTGCATTGGTTTAAACAAAAACAAGCTCTCATTGCATATTCAGGGAATACAAAAAACGCAAAAAAGAACCCTCAAGGAAGAAGAAATAAAGAGTTTACTTAATTTAAAGAGTTTTCTACAAACAAGAGATTTAGAGAGGTTCAAGGTATTCACACATATGGCTACACAAAATCAGTAATCCTTTTGCTTCACTAAGCTGTCCTCTTCCGGTTTGGTCAATAGGCTTGTCCAAAGCCATAGTGAGCTTGGAATGGTTAGTAACAACCCTGATGGGTTTTGATGCTGTGCTAAGATAACATTGTACTTTGCCGCTTTCATATCGTGATGATGCAATCTTCTTGTGAGATGTCTCCCATGATTAGCATCACATTTGATGGTGCAGGATTGTCAACCGCCCCAAAATAAAGATCTACGAAAATCTTCTTATCTCTCCCATCTTTATTGTCTGAAACCATATATCATCAATCAACGCATAGATCAAGATCTAACGCTTCAAGGAGACGGAAGATTACGAAACGAACACGATAAACTAATTGGAGCAGAATGATCAAGGGGTTTAGGATTTATTAGATCTTACGGGAGAACATTCCGAGCTAAGAAACTGCTTTTTGGCCGTTAGATCTCAAGTATATCTGTGCTATCCTCTCCACTAAACACTTCAGTTGCTTGCTCTAATGACGTAAATCTTAGTTATTATGGTTAACTTTGTGTGTGTGTGTGTGTGTTTCTGCAGCAGTCACTGAACATGTCATGCATTGCTTTAAACGCTTTAAACAAAAGAAGCTCTCATTGCATTCTCAGGGAATACAAAAACTCAAAAAAATAAAAGCCACAAGGAAGAAGAAACAAGAGTTTTCTCTATTGCTGAACAAAACATATGATACTACAACATGAATCTTAGCCAAAATCAATGTTAAGCGATACTTAAAACACTCTGTTTTTTTAGGCTACCCAAATCAAAAACCAACCAGATCACTTGGAATAAAAGACATCTTCTTAGGCTGAGACGAGATAGCCTTGGCAACAAAAGCAAGCAATCACAATACCAACCAATGCTCCAGCAAGAACCTGCGAAGGAGTGTGACCAAGCAGTTCCTTAAGCTTTCTTTGACTGATGGGATGTCCTTCGAACAAGTCCCTAATGATCAAGTTCAGAACCTGACATCACAAATACAAAACATTGTTAATCTTATCTTACAAAGAACAACAAACTAGACTTAGACTCTGTACAGACCCTCTTTCAAAACTCTTAATTCTCTGCAATTTTATCAAGGTCATTCTACAACCAATAACAGCTATCATCAACATGTGCCCAATGTCCATAATTTCGAGAAACTTGTATTACGCTCTCAACAATGCAAAACCATCATATAAAAGATTCAAGAACCAAGAACAGAAATCAACATCTAACTCTCCATAATTCCAAATCTAGTGATGTACTTCAATTGTGCACACATTGAAAACTCAAGCACGCCAACTTTTACACATAAAAGCATTCACAAAAATTCAACAATGTAGTGAAAGTCGAATCCATCACCAGATTCTAGTAATACATTAAACTATACACACTCATCAACATGGAAATAGTAATACATTAAACTATACACACTCATCAACATGAAAATCTAGTCAACTTGTAGAATAGACAAAGCATTTAATAAGACCAAAGTCAAACTCTGTAAAAATCTCCAAAACTCAAAACTTGAAGCAGATTTGGTTTAACTTTTTACCTCAGCTTGCATACCGGCATGGCGTCTAACACCAATTGCATCATACATGACAATCAAGCTAAACCCTAAACAAACAGGAAACAAGGAATCTGCAACTCCATGACAAAGCGCCACAGAGGTCGTCAAAGCCATACATAAAGCTGAGTGAGACGAAGGCATCCCACCAGAAGCATAGAGAAGACGAAAATCCCATTTCCTCTCAATGAAGAAATTGATAACCATTTTACTCGATTGCGCAAAGAACCACGCGACTACAGCTGAAACGAAAGTTGGATTCGCAGAGAGCGTCGCAACGAAAGGGCTAATCTTTATCTTAGCAGAAGCAGTAACGCTCAAAAG